GGTACCCATATAAAAAAATAATAAGATATTTGTTACAGTCGTTCTGAGATATGCGAGTATCTACAGTACATATTGTTTTTTTTTTTAAATTTTTGTGCATACCTATAGCTATTATTATATGAATGAAACCAGTGTATATTGGGGGTAGCAGCAGTGTAAAAGAAATACTCTTTAAAGTTTATCCAAGCTTTCGGAAATGTTTATTTCCATCATCAGGAACACTACAATGATTAGACTTTAAATGAAATGGAAAACCACCAGGGCCATGCCTTGTACTCACATCTTTGGTGAGGTTGGTAACAACGTTGTTCGATATATAAAATTGTATAATAGTCTAAGATCCGAACCTAAGTCGACCTTCACCGAGCTGATAATAGAACGAAATATATTTTATCATGAATTTAGTATATTAGAAAACATATTAAAAATGGGTTGCCTAAAAAAATCCTGGGCAGACTATTTTTAATTATTTTTCGAAAAATTATTTTTAATTAAATGTTGCAACATCAGGATAATAAAAAAATTGTGTCCTGACTGAAAGTATGAAACGTATAGAATGTGCAGCCGTTGGGGTGTCTACTATTTACCTGGGCGAACTACTGGGTTGTCAGGTAAACACAGGTATATCGATGCCAGTTACTTTCACTGGATTGGATAATTTAAAAAAATGTATATCATCATAAGCGCTGTTTAATTGCGAACACGTTGATATAGGGTTGTCTGCGAAAATTCCGGTCCGATTAGGGGTTTTTAATTTCAACGCGCGTGGAAGTGTGTGACAGAGAGATCCGAGGTAAGTATACTGTGTGATAATAAAGGACCCAACATCGCAGTCGCTTGTGATGGGACCCTGAATAGTAGAAAGTGCGCATGCTCGGTGTGTAAACTATGGAGGGTAGAGGTACCTCTACTACCCTTCATATAGTAAACAGTGCGTGTTATTTTGGAGCAACTGATATTTCAGTAGCAAAAAAAAATAATTAATTAATTACATAATAAATAAATATATTTAATATAATACTAATATATAAAAACAATATAATATCAGTATATTGCGTTATAACCATAATGATATATCTATAATCTATAATAGACAATAAGAATATCAAATACTTACTTTGAAATTTTTTTGCTCTTTCTGGAAATAGAAACAAAGTGGACCGCCAAAAATTTAAATTAAGAAATAACAAAAAAGATAGACTAGACATCTTGTATTACGATTTGAAATTTTATTAAAAAACAGTATAAATACAAAAATAATATTAATGAAAAATAAATTCTAATAAATATTTTCTATTCAATATCTGATTCATCAGAAGTATCATTTTGACTCTCGAATTCGTCTGATTCATTAGATTCTTCCTCATTTGCTTCCATTTCGACAATGTCCTGGATTTTAAAAGGAGTTTGATCTCCGATAAAACCTGTTGGTTTTAAGAAATCATCAAAATGCCAACCATAGTTTTCAGGATATGACTTCGCACACTTTCTACTATTCAGGGTCCCATCACAAGCGACTGCGATGTTGGGTCCTTTATTATCACACAGTATACTTACCTCGGATCTCTCTGTCACACACTTCCACGCGCGTTGAAATTAAAAACCCCTAATCGGACCGGAATTTTCGCAGACAACCCTATATCAACGTGTTCGCAATTAAACAGCGCTTATGATGATATACATTTTTTTAAATTATCCAATCCAGTGAAAGTAACTGGCATCGATATACCTGTGTTCACCTGACAACCCAGTAGTTCGCCCAGGTAAATAGTAGACACCCCAACGGCTGCACATTCTATACGTTTCATACTTTCAGTCAGGACACAATTTTTTTATTATCCTGATGTTGCAACATTTAATTAAAAATAATTTTTCGAAAAATAATTAAAAATAGTCTGCCCAGGATTTTTTTAGGCAACCCATTTTTAATATGTTTTCTAATATACTAAATTCATGATAAAATATATTTCGTTCTATTATCAGCTCGGTGAAGGTCGACTTAGGTTCGGATCTTCTACTATAATAGACGGTGACATATTGTGAAAAAAAATGATTACGTAGACACATAGGACACTAACATTCTTACATGTAAACTGACTGTTACTTGTTTCATTGTGAATTCAAAATTTTAAAATTTTTGGTTAAAAAAATGGATTTCCGCAAAGTCACATTGCTCACATTCTTCAAATTCTTCGGATTGTTAAGGTTAGGAATGTCTGTTTCTTCCTTTTCACAAAATAGAGGTTTTTGTGTGTCGATTGACAGGTGTGTTATTGTCGTTTTCAGCTAATTTGTGAAAGAGAATAAAAAAAAGAGAAGAAGAAGAGATTGTTGCTATGTCCATATGTCATCAAAGATGTAAGTGCAAGGCATGGCCCTGGTGGTTTTCCATTGTATTCACACTCTCTAATCATTGTAGTGTTCCTGATGATGGAAATAAACATTACCGAAAGCTTGGATAAACTTTAAAGAGTATTTCTTTTACACTGCTGCTAACCCCAATATACACTGGTTTCATGTGGTCAGCAACGACTTCCCTGCTATTATTAGATATACTTACAACTATTTGCGTTCTCTCTGTGTTTTTTTTTTTTTTTTTTTTGTTTAATGTATTACAAATTTCGACAGCAACGCCACATAACGCGTCCAATTGTATTTATTTTAAATCATCCAAGAAATCATCGAAATACTCATACCTGGAAAATTCAGAGGGGGATTCCTTATGATATTTTAGGAAATATAGATCATGTAAACATGTGTCCTAACTTGCTTCGTTTTCGAGATACAGGGTATTGATATTTCCAAGAAAACTATTTTTTCTATTCATTTCTTAATTGTCTTTCCACCAATTGCAATAAAACGTTGTGGTTTCGTTGATAGTAATATGGAGGTTCTCCTAGTGCAATTAGCTTCGGAATAATATCTCCAGTGGCGTCACAGTGGGTATATTTATCGATATTCATGGTGAATCTCTTTGTACACCACCGGTTTTCTGAGTTTCTCATTTTTATTAGACTTAACTACTGAAATGACGAATTTTTTATCCTTTGTGTGATTTTTGTATCTAGCTTAGTTTTTGAGGAAACAATAATAATTCGATTCGACTCCAATCTTTAATGTAGGTATTTTCAAGACTTCCATTGAGATTACTCAATAACCCCAGTTATAATCATTATGAAATTTCGGGGCTTTCTCAAGCTCCTTCCATACTGAATTTTGGCACCATGGAAGCAAATTCAGGGGGGTTATAAATAAAAACAATTAATAGAATAGAATGTCACAAGGAAGAACACCTTGAATTTTTTCGGTGTTATTTAGATACACCCTGTATAAAATTTAAACCCAGTCGGTTCAGCCGTGTAGACGTTATGTGAAAAATACAAGTACGGAAGGATAATACTCGTTGTCCTATTAACTGTTTTTTTCGTACGAATGAAGTATTTTCAAGCAGTTAAAAGTAGCCTATGTCCACCAGGAATAATGCCGGCTTCTAATGGTGTGAAAATTTTTTGAATCGGTCAAGTAGTTTCGGAGCCTATTCAATACAAACAAACAATCAATCGAATCTTCACTTTTATAAATCAGTGTAGATTTCAATGATTTTGAAAATCGTGGGACAATTATTGTGATATTTTGAGTTCTGTGATGTATGCCCACATTCTTTATCTCAGTGCTTGACCTATGATTATCCAAAACTTTTTCAAAATCAGATAGATCTCTTGGTACCTATACATTGGACTTTTTTTGGGGAACGAAAAGTATTTGCCTTTATCAAAATACTGGTTATGGTCAAATTTTTTTTGAAAAAGGTTTAGTACAGTAATAATTTTCTTCGAAAATCGACTTGGGCTATAAGTTTTGCTTTGAAAAACAGAAAAATGGAGTAGTCGATCGGCGTCACGTGACTTCCGCTACATGTCAAGCTACATTTTTTAAAAGTTATCGCTGAAAATAGGTTTATTTGTTTGAATTTCAAAAAATTTTACTGAGAAAAGTTATTTTTATTCCAATATTACACATATGTGTCTCCAATTTGAACGTATATACATGGTATTACCTTTGAAATAAGTTTGTATTGAGAAGTTGATTACACTTCATCGATAACGATCAACAAAAACTAATTATTTATTCACACAAATCATTGAGTTCTCCATCTATCCTTCAATAGTTTTTTTTTCTACTCACATAACTAAAATGGCATTTATCGTACGGATATGTACCACGCTAAATGATCGATTAATCACGGATTGAGGATCTGTGATTTATTCAAAATATTAAACACGTTACCATGGCAACACGATTTCTTAAACACATTACCATGGCAACACAGCTCATTAAACACAGCTTCAGTAATTTGAGACATGTCTGGCCTATCAATTGTAGTAACTGTCAACTGTTATTTTCGAATTTTGTATCAGAATTATTCAAACAATATTCGTTTGTATCAGAGATCTCCATTGAAAATATATGCGAAATGTAGACGAAAGTAAAATCGAAGAGAATGTTCTGGTACTTGCATATCTCCAAGAAGTATGATAAAAATGAAGCATCCATCTTTGAGAACAATTCATTAATTCTGCGCTAAGCATGACAATAAACGTGAAACAAAGGTTAGTAAGCAATGGACTGGACACATCTACAACCAATATCACTTATACGTGTCTCGCTGGTTGCATGCATGCAACTGCATGCAACCAGCGAGACAGTATTATGTTCTCAATTCTCATTCCTTTCGAATGATTCTGTAGGTTAGCAGGAATACCAGGTATGTTCAAGTAATTTTCGGAGTTCGTAGAAAAAGCATAGTATGTAACGTGTTCATAAACTCTTCTAGACACTCGTTTATTAAACACTCGCGCTCCGCTCTGCTCCGCTCGTGCATAAAATGCTCGTTACTAAAAGGACGTTTATGACACTTGTTACATAATATACTATTATATCACAAATCACAAAAGGAAAGAATAAATACGAATCATGGGTTAAGAAAAGAAAACAAGAAATTGTATCAGTAAAAATTTATTGTAGAAACAAATAAGGATATTTTTATTTTGATATAACAAATGTTCGAACGAACATAATGAGGAAAGAAGAGTATCTGAATATTTCCTTTTATTGTGACAAAGTTTCTATGTACACTTAGCTTAACATCGATAAAATATTGATAAAAACAACTAGATGCGATACAGCTGGCAGGGAGGATATGGCATCAGAAAAAGCACTAACTGAAAAACAGAAGACGAAATATTATAATCCATATTCAATATAGTAATTATATACAGGGCAATTCAATGTTTTCAGGAAAAAATTATGTGGAAATGAAAATTCGGAATTCTCACCTCAATATAAAAAAGATTTAAAAAATCGTATCTTATCCCAAAGCTATGGCTGAACGTCTCTAACAGGGTGGAGACTTCAACTGAAATTAATTTTCTAGTAGGTCATAACGATATTGTTTATCTTCATTTGATTACCGAGCCAAAGACAGTGGATAATGGAAAGAAATGAATAACCGCTATCATTATTGTTGATATGTCTACTTCTTTTTCTCATACCTGGCACTGACGCGGCATTTGCTATTTGAGCTGACACCTGGTCCAAATCATAGTGGAAATATAATATATGCGCATAACGTCATTGCGAGTCTATATTTGCACCAAAATGATCACGGCGACTCGGACGAATTGATAGCTGCGAGCTAAGACTGCGTGCAATTGTTTTGCTCGCAGTGACGTATACGAAGATGCGTCGTAGCACACCATATTATGATTCCATCATGACCCAAATGAATTCATCGATTCATCGTTTCAATAGAAAACACAAATGGGTCACTCTGTTGTTGTATTTATATTGAAACTACAATTCTTATATCCTTGAAAATTGAATAAACCTGATCTGTGAAGGCAGGTAGAATATTCTAACCACACGGATTATTTGTTGCATTGCATACATACGGCACGGCATCCACGACATTACACCGTATAGTATTGAATTCGTGACTGTAGTATATGATGAGGTCTTGCTTCTATCTGATTACCTATATAATTATAATGAAGGTATTATAGTTATCTGTCAAGTAAGTCACAATGGTGGTTACTCCACACATTTATTTCAGTTAATTATCTCGGTTGCAGAAAAAAAATAGCATATTTCATTCGGATCAGAAGTGACTTCGTTTGACGCGGAAACTTTTCTTCCGCTCGGTTTCGCTTGACGCTCCACCTCGAGAATGCAAAATTCGCCTGTCAAAGGAAGTGTCACTTCTGATCCTAATGAAACAATCTACTATAGTTCCCTGCTAGTGAATTAATCCCAGCTAAAGACCCCACCTTGTATATTGATAACATATGAATAATCCTTAAGCTCACCTCTTTCTGGGACGGGATCTCTAACGCTGCCCAGCTTCAGCACAGCTTCTTCGTGGTACACGTCAGCTATCTCAGCTACGCATTGAAGCAGCAATCTGCCCGTGTTGAAATGGAACTCCGATAGCTCCATTTCCAGAGATAGGTCGCTCCAAGCAGATTCTTGGTATGAGCGTGGACCCAGAGGTTCACTTTTAGCTACCTTCAAATCATGAAAAATGTCATTGAAAGCCTTCGATTAGGCAGAAGTAATTTTATATGGAAAGGTCGCGTGCACGATGACCGACCCTGAAGGTTAAACATTGAAAAACAACCTCACTTTTTTGTAAAACATTGAAACCAAACCTCACTTTTCTGTGAAATATTGGAACACAACCTCACTTTTCTTATTGGTTCACAAAGGAATCAAAGGATTGAAATAGTTCTTCACAATATTTTGGCATACGAATCGTGTTTTTCTAGCTATTCATCAATTCAAGCATGCCATCACATTGTGCTGTTGCACAATGCACAGAAAATGCAGCCAGAGATGAAGGAATATGATTTTTTCAGGTAAATAGTGATATCACATAGTTTTCATTATGCTTTCTCATTACGATTCCTTGTGAAATTTCTGCAATGAAAGCTAATACTGTTAATGGAGTGAAGATGTCTACAACACACTTCCTTCATATTCAGTATGTCAGATCATAGTCATCATGTTTGATTGCAAGAATCCAATCTGCTTGCCTTCTTCACGATTATTTCTACTAGCTCCCATTTCAGAAGTATTTCCAATGAGGAATACCAAAATTTCAAATGGAAACTATATGTGAGTAGCTATAGTAGTTTTTAGATCATAATAATGTACCTACCTGAAAAATCCGATTCCTTCGTCTCTCGCGGCAATTTTTGTGCATTGTACAACACGATACGTATGCCAAAATGATTTTGGAAAACTATGTTGATCCTTTGTTAACAAATAAGAGTATGTTTCAATGTTTTTCCTCCAGGGTCGGTCATATGACAGATCTTCCAAGCAACCCATAGCCATGGAGTAGGACAGGTTAGGTTAGGTTCAAAGTCCACTGCGAACTTGAGGGTGGGTCTATTGTGGCTCACACCAATTCAAAAATACTTCACAGTGACAGTAACCTCTAAGTAGAACTGTTAGAGACCGTAGGCCCTGCTGTAGTCCAAAATTTGTTTGGTGATAATCCCAGAAGGATGGAAGGAATGAACCAATTTTGATAGATTTTGCGAGAATTCTGCAACTCTCCTTGCAGTCCGAGTATTCAGTCCAAACCATAGACTATTAACTACTCCTATAATGCAGAGTCACACGTAAACGTGGCAGCCTAGCTTTTTCGTCTTGCTTGTTTTTTTTTATGTTATGGTTCCCACGAAAAGGAACATCGTGACAAACAAGGCAATTAAGGTAGGAATTGATTTTCTTCTCAGATTTCTGGAGGTTATATGCTTCAAGGAACCTCTCCCTTGGCAATGTGTTCCAGAGCCTCGCTGTTCGTTGGATAAACGAGTCTTTGGAAAGAGATGTTCTGCAGGTCTCCAAAGTGACCACGAAGGGGTGCGAAGCCTCAACTCGTCGGTTTAATCTCGCGGGGACTGCGAAGGGAGGAACAATTGATATTTCAGAAGAGCATCGTCCATGATATCTATAAAATAGAGCCAGATCGCCAACTTTCCTTCGGTGTTCCAGAGAAGTGAGTGAGTTTGTGAGCGAGGCATCACCCACGAAACGAATTGACCTTTTTTGGACAGAATCCAACAGTTTCAGGGTGCTGCACTCCAAATATGAGAACAGTATTCCAGGACTGGTCGGATCTGTGCCTTATACATCATAAGCAGCTGACTGGAAGTGAAATAGCTCCTGGCCCGAAACGGAAAACCAAGTTTTTGGGATGCACTTTTAGCAATTGATCTCACGTGATTTTCCCAAGAAAGGTTATTGCTGATAGTAATACCAAGCATTGAAATGGATGTCTCCAAAGGTATATTTACTCCTGACAAGCTTGTGTTGGGCACAGTGAGAACGGCTTTTCTAGAGAAAAGGGATGCTCGTGTTTTGTTTGCATTGAAATCTACCAAGTTATTGATTCCCCATCCGAGAAGTGTTCCCAAGTCCATATTCATAGTCAACATTTCTTCCTCGTTCGTTCTGATCTGCCTGGCTGGTATTGGAGCCCTGGAAGAGAAGGCGGTATGGAGGGTACTATCATCCACGAAGCTGTGGACTGGACATGAAGATGCTTTCAACAAATCGTTGATATGGAGTGGAAATAGTGTTGGTGCTAGAATTGATCCTTGCGGAACACTAGCATAAGAGAGTCAGATGAAACTCCGTCGACCACTACATGGAGAGACCTGTTTGAGAAAAACTAGCTAGCAGAGAACATTGCTTGTTAGATGAGGGTAGTTGCCAAACGATGATAGCGGAGATTCAAGGAATGGTTGGTAAACAGTTGGTTCGGTCTCTCCCATATAGGTAACTGAAAAAATGCACTGTTATAATACTCACTGTGTAGTTATTCAAAAGGAATGTCAGCGATGCTTTGGGCCTTGATGGTGGACAAGTACAGTTAGCCCTCAAGATGTCACCGTAATCTAGGGGTTCTCCGAAAACGCTGATCGTTGGAGGATACTCAGGAAGTTCTGAAACCAAAAACAACCAATCAGTGATATAAACGAAATAGAAGATTTTCGTTTCGATTTCGTGCGGTGCAAGCGATATTTTTCTGATATTTTTCTTTTCATATTTTTTTCCTTCAAGTAAAAAAAATCGAATCTGATGCATAACGTTGTATACAGTCGAATATTTTCATGATGTCAGTAAGTTGTCCTAATTATATCTGATGAAAAAGGAAATTCATCATAATATTCCGGTGGATTTCTGTTCATCATGCATGGACTTTGAATATATTTGAAATCGAACTTTACACTGAGAAAAATAGACTTCTATGTCTCGATAGAAGTGGTTTAGGTAACGTCAGATTGAGCTCATTTTCATATTTCCACGAATGAATCTCTCACCAGAGATTATACACTCCTCTCACGAATCTCTTCGTATAGGTATTTACATGCAGACGGTTTTGTAAAAATATATTCGGAATTGAATCCCATACTAGTTCAGGTTAGATTCCATGTGAGTGGGGCGAACAACACCCCTCTACTACGACCCCAGATGAGTCTATAGTGGCTCACCCCTAAAGAGGTTACAGTTCACTGCACAATCCACTTCTTTTTACAAAGTACATGGTTGAATATGGTGGGATTTGTCTAAAATCGATAGTTTCTAAAATGGTAAAGCCAAATATGTCGAACCTTAGTCTCTCTAAGCAAGAGCATGAACATATAGTATGTGTTCAGCTGTTTCGTCTTCCACACAGCTGAACCGACAATACGCTTGCTGTTTCAGACTCATCCTTCCTAGGTGGTGTCTTAGACGACAGTGTCCCGTAAGCAGTCCTGTCAGAATTCGCAGGTTACCCCTGCTCCATTCTAGGATCTTCCTGGTTATATGATTATGGTTCAGGCAGAAACGCCTTCGGATTGGTTAATCCTGGTAATTCAGACCAGTACGTGAGTCTTTACCCCTCCGCCCAGTTCGAGATAGTTGTTTTGGTCGCACATGCGGAGCCCCCAAAGTATGGTTCTGGTCCTATGACCACAGATTCGGTCCCACAGCAAATTAACTCTGTTGTTAGCACCCAGTCATTCTAGGGATACAATACAGTTCCATACAAGCTTGGAATTATCTTGCTGGAGCTCAGTGCTTCAAGAGCAGGATGACTGTCTGATACAATACTGATGTATTTGTTTACAAGAGGTCTATTCATCAACTCTCTAGCACACAATTCACTAATTGACTAAAAAATAAGTTCGAACACTCATAACGTCCAAGCGTATTGGCCAGTTCAGCGTGGATTTTATTTCACTAGCATTTATTTCCCAGGATTAACATGCAATGATCGCGAGATATCATCGGCAAAGACATCTCAAGTTTCTCACTTCTCCTGGATTACTGAAGAAAATTCTCACAACATTTTCTACAAAAGATACTAAGCTTCAAATTCAAAACCAAGCAATTTTAACTCCATTTTGCATGAAATATGCTACCTCATACATAAAGAAAGACAACTTTTGGAAGTCTCGATATAAAAGGTGTTCGGTTAGCGTCAAATGAAACTCATTTTCATACGTCCACGAATGAAACTCTCACGAACAACTACAAATATTCACAAGCGAACGGTTCTGTTAAGATATTCGATATTGAATCCGACACTAAGAGATAAGCTCGAATTGTTATAACGTCCGTGCAATGATCACGAGATATCATCGGCAAAGACATCTCAAGTTTCTTACTCCTTCTGGAATACCTACTAAAGAAAATTCTCACAACATTTTCTACAAAAAATACTAAGCTCCAAAATCAAAACATACATAAAGAAAGACAACTTTTGGAAGTCTCGATATAAAAGGTGTTCGGTTAGAGTCAAATGAAACTCATTTTCATACGTCCACGAATGGAACTCTCAAGAACTTCTCCAAATATTCACACATGGACGGTTCTATTTAGATATTTGATATTAAATCCGACACTAAGAAACAAGCTCGAATTGTTATAACGTCCGTGTAATGATCACGAGATATCATCGGCAAAGACATCTCAAATTTCTTACTTCTTCTGGAATACCTACTTCTGAAAATTCTCACAACATTTTCTACAAAAAATACTAAGCTTCAAAATCAAAACCAAGCAAGTTTCACTCCATTTTGCATGAAAAATGCTACCTCATACATAAAGAAAGACAACCTCTGGAAGTCTCGATATATAAGGTGTTCGGTTAGCGTCAAATGAAACTCATTTTCATACGTCCACGAATGAAACTCCCACGAACCTCTTCAAATATTTATACGCGGACAGTGCTATGTTTGGATTGAATATGGTGAGAGAGCTTCGCAAGCCTGGATCCAATTACGTCAAGAATGTTGACTTCGCGTTCGACTCCAGCTCCGATACCTGAAAATCTTATTATTTGCAGTTCCCCGGGAAATCGCCAGGAAGTGTATGCATCGGCATATTCGATACTGAAATTGTCGCTCTTCTCCCTAGTGAATTGGTTTCCATAGAATGGCAGAGGTCTATGAATTCCGAACAGGTCAAGGAATATCGGAAATAGAAAATAAGTAAGTATACAGTGTGTCCCACTTACCATGCTCACCATGGGTATCTTTTCAACGGTGAGAGATACGAGGTCGGTTAAATGACACCAAATGTGGAGTTTGTCAAGGCCAACTATTATGTGAGAAAATATTTTGATAAAATCTATTCGTTTTTGTTTTATACGCAAAAAACAGATTTTGATCATTCTCATGTCTCCTCCGTAACTTCTTTATTCATGAAAATATTCAAATAGGATCTTCACATTCTCATGGCAGTTTTTCGAAGTGATTCCGAAAAAACATGAAATTTATACCAACTCTTCTAGAATTTGAGATATCAGCACCAACTATAGTTTTTCAAATGTAGGTCATAGCTCACTATGACTTGTTTTTCTCTTACAGATGATATGTCGCAGTAATAGTTTTGTGTTGATAACAACGGAGTTTTCGTCATTTATTCAAAAACAAAATATCATTTGGAAGCCGCCATCTTGAATTTATAAATTTCAACAAGGAAATCATGATCTCCGACCTCAAGAACCCCCACTCACCAATTTTGAATGGAATCGGAACAAATCTTGTCCGCCATCTTGGAGCAGCCATTATTTTTAATTTCAACAAAAATTCCATAATGTACAATCAACTTGAAATCTGGCAGATGTTCGTAAATCCGGTGACGATACAATACAATTTTGAATTGAAAATTGTTTGATTTCGTGTCTTCTCTGACTCCACAGGTAGTCAGCTGAATCATAGAAAATGTACGAAACGCATATTCAAGATGAATGGAATGGAAGATGAAAAAGACATGCCAGTTCATTTTTGTAGACGGTGTTATTTATTGGCATACTTTTCAGAACTGGAACAACAACGGAAGATATATCAAATGTAAATAAATATAAACGGAAAAGAAATATTCACTACATCGCATTATTTTATGCACTTGGAAAAACTTGAAAATAAATCAAGAAAATGATGAAAAACAGTACCTAATCTCGTACTCGTAGCGGTACCCTATTTTCAAAATGTGAACTTTGCTGACTGATATGGGAAGAGATACCAATATTTACTTTTAATCCCTGATAGTGCCTTAAAAAGAGATTGAAAGTACCCGTCTATCCCTGGAGAGCATAATAGAACATTATACATCAAGGGACAGAAATGCAAGATTTTGTCGAAGCCCGAGAGAAACAAAGCACCGAGGGAAAAATAGCATTCTCTTCTGAGTTGTAGATACTATTTTTTACGTTGGCAGAAACACAAAAATTAAGAAAAGATTAAAATTTCGTCAAAGTGTTTTGTCATGATTAGTAGTAGTAGACAACATGCATCCTAATGACAACCCATGGTGATAGCAAATATCAAACTGAAATTGTTGAAAACAGCTTTGCTACTGGTGAGATCTAGAAATCTCTATGATGCAGCTTATACTTGCTTCAGAAAAGGGTGTACCAAAAAGAAAGCGCAGGGCTATGCGCAAAATGTAAAGTTGGTATGAACTCCCTAGGAAGAAAATATGTCTCACTATCTCCCTAGGGAATAATACGAGACTTCTGTCCCTATTTCGTTACCAGAGAAACTAACTTCTACTCCCCCCGGCGTGAAAAGAATAATATTATCATGCGATCTCAAAATCTTGGGATGAAACCTCGGAATTCAATGTTAGTCCCTGCGTAACAATATAATCATTTACTTCCATGGTGTTTAAATAGATGTACCTAACTAATCTTATGATACTTACGTACAACCAGCATCGTTTTCGTATCAAAGCCAGTGGAAAAGTGTGGAGCATCTGTGGTAACTTCACAACTGAAGTTTCCGGAAAGATTGAAATCGATGTCTTGAAGAACAACGTGTGTCGAGTTAGACAGAGATTCCTGGAAAAGGTTGAATGTTATTGCAACAGAAATTCCTTTCAATAATGTCAGATTTTATACATGTTCATATTATAGTCTGTTCGTACTGAAATATTGAAAATGTTGAATCTCAACGATATCTCAGAGCATTGTCGATCTAAATGAAAACCTAGTAGGCGAACTAGTACGCGAGAAGGTACAATACTCTTGCCTGCTACATACCTAACTAGGTTGTCATCTAGAACGACAATGGTCAGAGAAAGATATTCTAGAATAGTAGACTTTCTTGTGGCTTTGTTTAATTGCGTTTTCCAGTCGCCGATTCAAAGAGCGCACTAGCATAGAGCAAGTTCAAGTGGCACTGCCTCGGTACTTCCATCAAGGGACCCTACTTCCATAAAGTGCGGTTCCAGCACAGAACAGTGGAATAGAAACAGAGAGTTGGTGCGACCTTCCTGTCATCAGAAATATCAGAATAATTGGTTTGTCAATCAAAAAGTTGAATTATTGAATGTACATTTGGTTCCGTTGGTCCACATGAAATGGATTCATCTACCTCTTATTGTGGTTTCCCTGTGAACACTACCAGAATCCATCCAGAAACAGTCTCATATATGAATGTACATTGTGAATGATGTTCAATTGAATCATTCGACAATAGTGACTTAGCATTGTAGTGTCGTTCACGAAGTTACTATTTTTCATCATTACTGAATCAATAATCAAATATGTCTAATAGCTGCACATCTGAATAGCTTTCTTTAACTTTTAGGTAACTTTGAATCTTCCGTAAACAGTGTTTCGTAACGAAGTACTTCTGTATCTCAATCATCATTTCTTCATCATCGCTTGTATCCGAAGTATCTATGATTTCGGAAATTATTGTAATAATAGTAATAAACCTCGTAATAAACTTCAATGAGACAGTAGGTTTGTTCGCGTTCGAAAAATAAATAGTACGAAACCATCAGAAGCATGCGCACTGCGCAGTTTCACAGAACTGTAGGTATTTTTCATGTTCCGTGGAAGTGCTCATGCTTCTGATGGTTTCGGACTATTCATAATTATTCAACTTCCAAACATTTGCCCACTCGTGAATTGAATATTTGAGGTTATGTGTATCGCACCATCGTACAGACACAGTTCTGACCACGCAAAACGCTCTCAGTGCCGAAAAAGTTCGAGCTAGTGCGACGAGTGGAAAACGCTATAATATCATCACGAAAATCAATCATTGTTATCACTTACAAGGACGTTGATTCCTTTGAAATGGAACACCTTGGTCTTGGGTTGTTCGCTGGGGGTGAAACGATAGAACTCGTAGCGACCTCTATACCATTTGACGGAGTACAAAATGTCGTTTTGCAAGTCGTAGGAACATCTCAGGGTGCTATTACTAGAACGCTGAACCACGTTGGGTTGGATTGTCAGGACTACGTCTTTCAGCGAAAGAACATCTGAAAAAAAAGCAAGAATTTTAGATTAGTAAATTGTTTTGTTCACTAGATGAATTCGAAATATCCTTTTTTTTTTCTTCATTTCAGAAAACCAAACTGTCAAGTTCCAGTCAGCAAATGATGGGTATAATTCAGTTTTTCCGGACGAGAGCCCCCGTCATTCCATGCATCCTGATGCCCCACGGCCCAGGGCCCGCACCACAGGTGGATTCTAGAGGCCTGTATTTTCTAAATCCGTCCCTGGCAACAGAGTTTTTCAAACACACCTTCAGTCGTTCGAGTCCTGTCCAGCCTTTGAATAATTCTGATTGCAACAACATTCGACAATGTCAGTTGACAGTTCCTACAATTGACAGGCCAGACAGACCTCGAACGACTGGAGGTGTGTTTTAAAAAAATGTTGTCATGGTAATGTTTTCAAGAAATGGTGTTGCCATGGTGATGTGTTCAATTTTTTGAATAAATCACAGATCATCAATCCGTGATGAATCGACCATTAAGCGTGAACGTCAAAAGCCATTTTAGTTATGTGAGTAGAAAATAGGAGATTGTTCTATTAGGATCAAAAGTGACACTTTGTTTGACAAGCGAATCTGCGAGTCAAACAAAGTCACTTTTGATCCAAATGAAACATGCTATTTTTTCAGCAACCGAAACAATTAACTCAAACAAATATGTAAAGTAAACACCAATGCCGTGCCATATGTATGCAATGCAACAGATAGCCCGTGCGGTGAGAATATTCTACCTGCATTAACAGCAGATTCATTCAATTTTCAAGGATGTTCGAATTGTAGTTTCAATATGAATACAACCACAGAGTGACATATTTGTGTATGGACCAGGTACTCTCATGGCAAATACCGCGCCAGTGCCAGGTATAGGAACAAGACGTTGAAAATGTTAGGTTAGTGAGCATATCAACACTAATAATAGCGATAATACCACACTGTGTTTGGCTTGATAATCAAATGGAGGTAAACAATATCGTTGTTTGAGACAAAAAACTATTGCTTACCGTGATTATTCAAAAACAAGTTATCCATCCCGAGAATAACGAATGAAATACAGATCTAGCAAATATGTCAAACTTGAAGGCGTCCCTGATCAAAACGAAAATATTCAACTGAGATGTTTATAATTCCTATACTCAACTATAATAAGGTGTATTTATATCTTCAGCATGGGTATGAAATGCCAAATCTGCCGAAATCGGAAACAAACCAGGTATGCGTCCCAACCCAAATAACCAACCATAACAATGTTGTTTATTCTTGATGACGTCTAGTACATCCTTTTTGTTCCTAGGAGCTGAAGTTCAACTTTATCTCCTAGGAGCCAGAAACTTTAGGAACTAAATGTGTTGCCTCACAACATACCTATTTTCTTGTCAGTAATAGAAACGTAAATTCAAGAGCTAATTTTGGTATTAAAATGGACGACTTTTGTGTTGGTTGCAAAAAAAAGGAATTATTTATATTATTATTATTATCATTCATTTTCTGATGGAAAGCACACATCATATCATTATTCAATTTCGAAATAATTTCGAAGTAAAATTGCCTTCCCAAAATGGCTGACAAATTTAATTATACCGAAATAAAAATTTCTCTGATATTATGTCGATGAAATGATCATTATATTCTGCATATAATAAACATCCACGACTTCTATTGCTTACGATGAAATATACGGCTGCTGGGAATTTCAGAACAGTCCAATAAGTATCTTTGTTCTTTTTTCTGGGATAATTTGACGACATCGACTTCCGATCCCCTTTTTTATTCTTCTCTCCTCATTAGGAATTCTTTGTCATCATTTCAGAGAGCTCGAATTAATCACTGTTAGATGGTAAGTTGTGAGATAGGCGATGTCCAATTAAAAACCCGTCAAATTTTGATTGTTGAACTGTTGAAGTATGAAAAAAAGTTTGAAGTCGTGATATACTAAGGGTTATCTAATATACACGGTCTACCAGAACTCTCAGGAAAATTGTGGAATACATTAGATCTGAAGCTCTCCAAAAGTGAGACCAATCAATTTTCTATTAGATAATCCACTATTGCATTCCTATAGACTCATTTCTCAACTTCCTACTCTCTATTTCCAATGGCAACTGAGATATAATAATAATAATAATAATAATAATGATAATAAATCGTCTTTATTCATCTTGCAACAATATCAGTACATTAAATTTATAAAAAATAATTATTGTAGTACAAAGATGAAGAGGCGAAGGGTCAGCTGATGCTGTTTTACAACTTAACCCTTGAAGAAAAAGAAGGAAAAAAGAGAAAAAGGTATAGAATACAATAGTACTATTGAACATATTATAAAGAGAATTACCATCGATAGTTTGATAATCGGAGAAGCCTTGAGCTATGCGAAGTAGAATATATATTATATCATGCATCGAAATATCTATCCATCATTCAACAATGCTTTCAGATTCTTTTTGAAATTTAGTAGATTATAATTATGAAAATCAGTAGGTAGAGAGTTATTACATTTAGTGGCTGTATATGAGAAGCTTCGTTTATACAAACTGGTTTTGTATTCTGGAATATCCAAGGTATTTTTGTTCCGTGTTCTCGCAAAATTATCGAGAATACGAAAATTATACATATATACAGGGTGGAATTTTCAAAACTCTCCACCTTCAATATCTTCCTTCCAGTAAATAATATGAAAAATCTAGAAGACAGGTCAAGGGGGACACTTCGAATGCATATTTTTAGAACCTTATATAAAAAGGATGTCAAGATGCACATTATTATGAAGGGCGTACAATTATTTTTCCACCAGTACCCTAGTTTCTGATTGTTTGATGAGCAATTTCCGAAAAATGCCGTTCTAAACTTACAGAAGTAATTGGAAGATGCCTGCACTGAAATGCATTCAAAATCTTCCTACCATTTGGACTGAAAGGGTCAATACAATAATACCATTGAAAAGGAACATTCTCAGATATATTTATGAACACAAAAAAATTGATATATATGTGATGTTTATTCAACAGAAAACAACTACTTTCCTGGCTATATGCCACGACGAATATTGAATTACATCTATTGAACACACACGATGAGAATTTGAAAACAATTTTCATTCTCCTTCATATAAAGATATGCATATAATATAATTCTGAATATTCAACAGAAAACAACTACTTTCCTGCCTATTTGCCACGTCTAACATCATATCTGTTGAATATCCAAAAAGAGAGCATGAAAGATCAAAATCATCTGTTATCAAATTCTCATCGTGTGTGTTCAATAAATGTAATTCATATTCGTCGTGGCATATAGAAAGGAAAGTAGTAGTTTTCTGTTGAATAAACCGTGAAAGAATTGATATTTTCATCACATGGAGAATGCGAATTCTCAATGTATTTCTTTATATATATATCCATTTTTTTGTGTTCATAAATATATCTGAGAGTGTTCAGTTTCAATACTTTCACCCAATCAAGGGGTTCAAACTTGAACGATGGAAACTTGTTATTTTTACAGATCTCAATCGCAGATTCGTAATTAGGTTTTCTCAATTCAGAATTTCTTTCTACGTCTTCTATGATGAATTTCAATTTATCATACATTCAAAAAACAATAATACCAACCTGAAAACCATGCATATCAGTCGAGAGATCAGTGCAGGCAAGTTCTACGGAATTTGTTCGCAAACTGCTTATAAAAAAATGAAAAATTAGAGTATATTTGAAAAGAGACTTCAACGCCCTTCAAAATGATGTGCATCTGTACCTCCCTTTTACATATGAGGTTCTGAGAGTAACATCTACCCCTCCTAGGAGGTTGAACTAAAAGGACTAAAAATATGCAATCTAAGTGTCTTCCTCAAAAATAGAATTGACGTGTCTTTCAGATTTTTCATGTCATTTACTGAAAGGAAGATATTACCGGGTGGGAAGTTTTCTAAGTGACATGAAATTTTTCGGAAACAACCCAACTAAAAATGATTAACCCATTGGCGCCGGAAATATTTTTTCTGAAATTTTATGGTCATTAACTAGTGTGAAATGCTTCCGAAAGACGAGAAAAGTTTGAAGAATCATAAATGGAATTCAGGTTATTCAAAAATCTGCTGTTGCCATATGGCAACACTATAGGCGCTTGTGATACATGTTGTGGAATATCAACACAGATACCTCCATCACATTTTGAACACAGTCTTTGTCAAAATCCAGGTATTTTGCATGGCTACGTCTAATACCCAAGTGATTAGGGGCCAGTACGAATTCCTATAACAAATATTTTGATTCATTTGATCAGTTTCGCCCATCATATACAAAAAGGATGATACGTACACGAACATGACATCCATGTTTTACATCAGTTCGAATAAACTCGAAGTTTCTCAATTGCACGTGGCCGAAACAGCTTACTCACAATATAGAAATGACTGTATGTGCATACCCGGTTCTTCTGCGAATGATGTGGACTGTCTCTCGCCCTGATAGCTGAAAATCTGAGTGTCAGGGAATCATATTAATCTTCATCTGACTAGCGTTGCCATATGGCAACGCAAGGCGCTAATGGGTTTTAACGAGGGTACCGTTGGAAAGAGAAGTAAATGCCCTTCAAAATGATGTGCCACTTGACCCCTTCTCCCCATGTGAGATTCTAAGGGTAACATCTACCCCTTCTAGGGGGTTGGACGAAGAGGGCTTAAACAAGTGTCCCCCTTGAAAACCGACCTGTTTTTTTGATTCCTCATGTTATTCACTGCAAGGAAGATATTTAGGGTGAGAAACTTTTCATAATGCCACCCTGTAGGTATATATTTTCATAACAATAAATATGAATCATTTCACCTTCTACAAAAAATCGTGTCTTTTGACACTGATATAACTGTGAACAAAGCAGAGAAGAAGGGCAGCATTAATTTCATTGGATGAATAGATATATCATGTACCCTCTCATCTAATCACTTTTTCAATGCTGATTGGGTAAACAATCATCAGCATTCTTTCCAAAGTG